TGCATTTACGCGACGACGAATTCCCAGGCGCTCTCGCCCGTTTGTTTTACGCCTACCGGAAGACCGCGAGTCCCTGCGCCGCCGCAAAAAGACACCGCATCAGCCGAGGGCACGCAGCGGCAGTCGCGAGATCGAGCTTGCTCCCGCAGAGGCCTACGGTGGACCCGCGCTCCCCCATCATCGTGAGCTGCGTGTACCATCCGGGCACATGCACGTAGCTCTCGGCGTCCGTCGCGTCGTAGCACGCGACCACGCCGCGGTAGTACGCGGGCGTGTTTTGAGCGACCGGAACCGCTCCTGCCCCAGCGTCCTGCCCCGCCGTGTCCCAGATTTCAGTGGACCGAAATAATGCTCTGGGCTGCAGGGCGGAGATTTGCCGCCGACACCGGGATGCGCTCTCTCCTGTCAACAATCACCGACTCCCAGTCCCATCAGGCCCTTCTCCTGGGGCACAGGTTATCGATTCGAGCCTTGATCGCATGGTACTTCTCGTAGAGACCGCGGATGGGCTCCTTCTCAAACTTTAGCGGCGGTCGCCCGTGCTTCTTGATGAACTTAGAGTCGTAGTCCTTAAGCTGTTGCTTGACGATACGCTTTTCCTTGGAGAGCTGCGCAACGGCATCTCGACGCCTCGCTATCTCGAAGTGCGTGTCGTCGCGGGAGCGGATCGTCTTCGATGCACAGGAACCGGGAACGTAACGTGCGGCCCGGCGCTTACCTCGTCGCACCAGTGCCTGGATCTGCGCGGCGGCGTGGTCGCGGATGTCACGCTTCCATTCGCGATACTGGCGGTACGTCGATGCGAGCGGGACTCGCTCGCCACCGCGAGGCGCGTGGCCCGCGACAGAACGGAAGTCATCCTCGAAGCTCTTAATCTGAATCCGCAAAGCCCGACAGGCGTGGACCATGGCGCGCCTCTCCCGCGCGCCCGCGGCCCTCGTCGAGGGCTCCCACACGTGTTCAGCCGCCGTCACAGCCTCGCTCTCGCACTCGAACGCGAAAGGCCGCGTCGTCGGAACACCACGCGAGGGGTGGACCAGGTCTGCGGCCGCATCATGAAGCCAACCGTCGAGCAACTCCATCCTGCTCGACACCAGATCCCTTGGGGCGCGCCGCGGCCGTCGCGGGTCTCAGTGGCACAGGGCTCCTCGACGTCGCGGTCCACCGTCGGCGCGGTCCACCGTCAAGCCCCTCGCTATCCAGATCGAGTCCTCGAGAAGCAACCCCAGCCAGATCGTCAATTCCGCCAGTCTAAGGCCTACTAGAGAGTGAAACCCCAAACTAGGGTAATAGGGAATGTTAATGTCAACGTTACCGGAAAGTGTAGTAACGTCTGCACAGTGCGACGTCGCGATAGAGAGGGAACAGGCTAGCGTAAATTATGGGGATGACGGGGGATCGCGAAGCTACTCAATTCAGACAGATCCCTTTTTCAAGTTCACTGGCATTGGCAGCCGCTGAGTCAAGGTGCCGTTTTCATGGGATTTTCCTCCCTCAAGCTGAACGGTATGTCAACACGCAGCGTCCTACCAGCTGAAGACCACCACCCAGCAGAGCTCACTAGCTTACCTTCGCCCACCCAGCTGAGGAGTTCAAACTCCGAGTCAAAGTTTCCGACGATTTCAAGCTACCGTGACTTGCTAACCTTAAGCTCCCGAGTCGTACTGACCACCCGTGCCTACGCCTTAACTATCATCTGCTTCAGCTACGACGGCCACGCACCACCCTGACTCATGCTTGCAGCACACAACGCCCAACGCAATCCACCATCCTCTAACCATCCCTGACTGAATTTATGACACTCGAAGAAAGATACATATCAAGCTCAAAATTTTCTCCGCGACAAAATTTCGAGCGTTGTGCCATCCGGGGGTTCACGCCATGCGCCCGGCTAGCCGCCGGGCGTAGCCCGCTCGCGCGCGGGACCCACTGGGTCCCTCGCGCAGCACTGAACCCCCGGATGGCCCCCAAGGCGCACCAAGCCCCGAAC